GTCCTGGGAAGTCTGCATATCAAGCTCCTAGTTCCTGGGATGAGCTGTAGCTGCATCAGGGTTCTGGCATGTGGCCGCGCAAACGCTGGTGCTCAACACCAGGGGGCGTGTGGTTACCCTGCACCAGGCCCTGATAATCCACTTCCATGCTGGAGACTCCCAACTTCTCATCAGGCACTCAGGGGTTCCAGTTTGCGTACCACCACCCATGACACACACACACACACATACAGACACAAAGATACTAACTGATAGAACTCCTGACACACACACACACACACACACACACACACACACAGAGACATACTGACACACACAGACACACAATTTAAACTTATAAAGCCACCTTTCAGTTTCCTACCTTTTGGGTACAGGAGGGTGGCTTCCTCAGGGTCCAGTTTGCAGGCTGAGGATGTTGGAAGTTAGGCTCTGAGCCTCCGGTCCATACCCTCTCCTCACTGCTTCCTCCTCTGCCCCATGCAGCTTTAATCATGCTGTTAAAGTGCCCCAGTGCCCTACCGGGCACCTGCTGACAAATGCCCACAGGATGGCCCGAAGTGCATGGGCCACCATATGGATCCTCTTAATGAGCCGGTCCAGATGCAGCTTGAGGCAATCCTAAAAAAAAGTGTTGGGATAGAGGGCCCTTGGGGCAGCTGCTTTAGGCCCCCCAGGAGTAACTTGGCCCAGGACAGCTGCCCCGTTTGCCCCATGTTAAAGACGGCCCTGAGCAGCATCTGTAAAATGCATTAGGTAAAGGTTTGTAGTAAGGAGCTAAAAAGGAAAGTATTATATTCAAGCTACGTTGGAAAAGTGATTTTAATGGAAACCTTTTGTTTAATGATGTAGTTGAATTGCATACGGATAGAAATTACATTTAGGCTAATCCTTTAATTATTATAGTAATTTTAAATTTCAACAAAGGTGATAAATGACTTTGGTATGCAATATAAGGCCATGTTAAATCTGATGTTTAATTGAAGTGTTAATTTGTACTGTCAATATATTGATTACACATTTTCATGGCAGTGAGAACTGTACAATCCATAAATGCTGAATAAAAAAATAACAAACAAAGAGAATAATTGTGGTAATTTACTACCAATTCACTGGTACTATTAAAAGTCATGATAAAAAACATTGCAGGTTGAAAACTTTAATCCATTCTAAAAGGATGATGTGACAGAACAGCCATGAGATTAGTGGATTTGTCCCACCTCGTATCACTAGTTGGTGAATGTATAAACACAGCATAATTCTGACACCAAATGAAATAGATAGTTCACTCATGGAAAATAAATAGAAAATTGATAGGTTACTCAGTAGATGTTAGTTGGAGGTCACTCACTGGAGGAAGGTCAGATGCATGAACTAATAGGGAGGTCAGTCACAAGAAGTATTTCTGAAGGAAATGAAAAAGATGTGAAAGTAATTCACAGGGAAGAAAAATAGAAAAGAAACTCACAGGAAATCATATGAAGGTAATTCACAGGAAATAAATAAAAAAATGTCACTTGAAGGGAATAATAGGAATGCATATGAAACACATACATGTTATATAGTAAAGTAAAAATATCTAAGTGAATTCAAAATGAATTTCAAAATTAAGGCCAACATAGCCAAACTGGAAGCTGATTTTGAGATTTTTTTCCAATTCAGCTAATTTTATTTGAAATTTACTATGAAATCACTTTGAATTTTCCATTTAGTGAATAACTCTGACAAAACACTGTGTAGCAGAGCACTAGTCCTGACAAGGAATTTTCCTCCGCTGGATCTGTGAAGACAGGAACTCTGGAACAAGGCGCTGTGAAGTGAATAGCTCTATCCCTCCCCAGTAACTGGACGACACATTGCTATGGGACTACAACTGATTTATTCAGCACAAACTTAGCCTTTTATGCACAGGCCCCCAGCATGCGGTCTCCATTCAAAAAATACACAAGTCCCTCCTAGGCGTCCTTGTGTCTGGGAGATAATTGAGTCAAAACTAAGAAACTCAATTATCTCTCAGGTACTGGAAACTATAGGAAACATACTTTAAACAGTCCAAACATATGCATAATTCATAGAAAGCCCACAAGTTTTATATCCCTGAAAAGCCCGGATCTGAGTGACCATGTTGTCCAAATAGCGCTCAGATCCATTCAGTAGAATGGAATCGCCATTCTGGTAAAGTTCAGCCACAACGTTATGTCCCAAAACAGTTCCAGAGAAACAAGGGGAATGGCTGGTCATCTTTTGGGAGGTTCCTGTGTGAACACCGACGAATGCTACCCCTGGCTTTCAGAGAGCAAATGCTCCCCCAGTCAGTAGATCCTCTATCTCCCGAACATTGTTCATCTAGTTGGTTGGGAAGTGGGACGGAAAGCGGTACAATCTTTGCCTGGGTTTGTGAGATGGCATGGCCGAAAAAGAGTTCCAGGTGTTAAACGACCAAGTACCGCTGCCTGTGTTCAGGAGACAAAATGGTCGCCATTCCATGAAACACATGCATTCGGTCAAACGAATGGCGGCTACCCAGGGAAAGCACTCAACTTAATTGCTTATTTGCAGTTAACAGCCAAGGGTGGTCGATGTTTGGGGGAGGTATAAAAAGGGGGAACACACATCATCCATTCGGGACACGAGTATGTTTTCCTGGCACTATAGGGGTCCTTTAAGAGCCCAGGCTCATTACATAATAATGAAGAATAATAATAGCAAATACTTTTTGGAAGAAAACATATGCATCTAGAGTTTTCTAGTGTGGCCTGAAAAATATCTGTTGTCCCTATCCAATTCTCTTTTTATCAACCCTGAAAGACCTCTTGGCATGATAGTCACTTCAGTTAGAGTACTGCCCAATTGAGCTTGCAAACAAGCGTGATTAGAATTGCCAGAATTACACAAAACAGAAAAATCTATTTTATTTTTTTTTGTTCCAGGTAACAGGATGAGAATCATAGAGGATCTTTACATTGTAAATATACATTGTGTATGATATAGCCAACTAAAAGCAAGGCTTTAACTATTTTTGGTATTTTAATTTAAAAAAAAAATAAAAAAAATTTAAGAATCATACGGTTGTCTCACAACTCACTAAACCTCTAAGGGCATGGTCATGAATCTTTTTATGATGCATTGAAATGGCACTTGCAGCTTACAAGGACTGCAATGGATTTCCAGACAAAGTGAATTATTGCTCAAAAAGAGCTTACAATCTCATGTTTTAGCAGGATAATCTGATTTACCTGCAGTTGCAAAAGAGCTTAAACTAGAAATCCTGCATGTTTGCACATTTTGAATGCCATGGAAATTCAACTCAAGGTCATTGTTTGAGAACACAATGAAATCCCTTTAATTATACCAACATTTCACCATTTGTTATCTCAGGTAAGTGATGTAGCTTAGTGCATGCACTTCACTTGTGTGTTAACTTCAACATCATTATTCTCATTGATTGCTTTATGACCATGTTTACCTTTTTTTTTTTGTGTGTGTTTTGTACTGTAAAATGTAAATATTACACACAATTATAACAATATAAAACTGATTCAATAAGCTGCATTTGCACATTTATATTTGTAAGGATCCATAAACTGAAATGTATTAAGTTCACATTATTATTATTTCTTAATTAACTAATGTATTAACCAATTCACGTATCATTTTATTTAAGCTGTCTGTCCAACTTTTTGCCTGCTAACCCATCACTACGTCTCTCGGTCATCTATTTATTACATTTGGAGATTCATTTTGATGCAATCTTTAATTTGTCTGAATTTAGGAGGATTGTGTGATCCGTCAAATTACTAAACTGCAAGCTGAAATGTAACTGAATCATGAACCAAACAAAGAGCAACAAGGATGCTACATGTTCATTCTAATGCATGATTTGGCATTCCACCTGTGTCACCAAAGAATGAGATGATTGTTGGGAAGAAACGATGACTAATATTGAGGGCAACGTCACTATATGTTTATTTATAGATCAAGTGAGAAGTGACCAACAGAGAGGTAAAAAAATATATATATTTATATATTATACATTTAATAAACATATAATGTATAAATATAAATGTGTTACTGTCCCTCCTCTTTACCACTATAGGTTCCTATTCTCATTTAATTAGTGAACTACATGCGGTATAATGTACCCATCATTGCACTGTAAGATATATACATAATATTTCATATATATATATATAAAATTATAGTACACCGATTGCCCCATTTTTACACCTTTTGGTTTGACTGATTTATTTTCTTTTTTGTTAACAAAATTTGCCAAGCCTAACTGCTATGTGACTAAAATTCAGTCATCCCAAAATTATTGGCAGTGATTCAGCAGAAACAAAAATTTTTAACCGTGCCCAAGTCTACTATTTCTATTGATAACTTATAAGTGACAATAACTCAACTGGATCTCTGCATGTAAAGAAGAATCTGAGACGCGATTTGTTAACGGTTCACCCAGGGGGAATCAATGGCAAGTGTAACTCTGAGCTCTGTTCTAAGTGTTAGGAAAGTAAAGGGACACATAACGTCCCACTAGACATTAACCTCTTTGGTCTAGGGCTTGTCAAGGGCTTAAATCCACCTGTGACTTCACCCTAGTCCGTGTTACTCTTGTCAGAGGTCCCTAAACATGCTGAATCATTGCAAACTATAGAAGCACCTTGATAATCTAAATCACCTCCATGGGCATAGGAATACAATTCAGACGAAACTCTCAATATGCAGTCCATTTCCTGATTTATTTTAGTCTGAATAACCAAATGAGACAAAAGGCAAATCCCTTTTTTTTTTTTTTTATATAAAAGAGCTTCACCCCTAACCAAATTAAACTGTATCATTCTTCAAATTGAGTGCAAATACAATGATAGAAAGTGCTATAAATATTACTAGTATTGCATTAGCATTTTTGCTTTACTAATATAATTTATTTAATTTTTTATTTAATTTATTTATTTTAATGTATTTCATTTATCTACAGCATAATATATAAATGCATTAACCTTCATTACCTAGTGTTCATAAATAAATCAGTAACTGCAACTGATATCTATTATTATTATTATTATTATTATTACTGGTATTTATAATAGCGCCAGCATATTCCATAGTGCTTTACAATATTATCAAAGGGGGATATTTAACAATAAATGAGACAGTTACAAAAACTTACAGGAACAATAGGTTGAAGAGGACCCTGCTCAAATGAGCTTACAGTCTATAGGAGGTGGGGCATAAAACCCAACAGGACAGGAGGTAGCAATCAAACAAGGTGGAGGGAAGCAGAGCTGGAGGAAAGAATAGAGTGTTGCCCTTCAGGAGAGAGCAAGGGACAGGTATGTGAGGTAGAGGTTGTTATACCTGGACTGTATTTACTCTGGGAGGCCATAAGCTTTGCTAAAGAGATGGGTTTTGAGGCACTTTTTAAATGATTGGTCGTAGGCAGGCTATTCCAAAGGAAAGGAGCCACCCGCGAGAAGTCCTGCAAGCGTGAGTTGGCTGTACGGGTGCGAGCAGCAGACAGGAGAAGGTCATGTGCAGAGCGGAGAGACCGAGAAGGGACATACCTGCA